ACACACAAACTCAAAATGAAAAGTAAACTATAAAACCAAATAGTCTTAGAAGAAAACACATTGGCAGCTGGACGTGGTGATGCATGCCTATAATCCTAGCCACTCAGGAAACTGAGGCAGATGAATGCTAGTTCCAGGCCAAACTGGCAACTTAGTGAGACCTTGTCTCAAAATAAGATGTTGAAAAGTCCTGGGGGTAGCTCAGAGGTAGATCGCTTACTGGCATGTGAGAGATCCTGGGTTCAACTCTCACTTTCATATATATACATACACATACACACACACATACATTATATATATATATATATATATATATATATATATACACACACACACACACACACATTCATATACACACACATACACACATAATGGAAAATATGATTGCAATAATCTTCACAACAAAGGATTTGACCACATTTTCAATGATATGACACAAAAATCACAGACACTATAGAAAAATAATTAATAAATTGGACTCATCCAAATTAAAAACATAAAAACTTCAATATATCAAAGGATATGCACAGAAATGATGACCTGCAGGATGGGAAAAGATATTTGCAAGTCACATATCTAATAAGAGGTGAACATTCAGAACATATGAAGAACTCCTGAGCTTAGATTAGCTCAGTTGTGGGGCACTTGACTAGCCATGTGCARTGTCTGAGATTGATCCCAGCTCCACATACAAGCAAACAAAAAACAACCTCAACTCAACCATATAAAATCTTTCAACCTATTCAGAACTGGCAAAGGCCAGTTCCCTAAGGAGTTATACAAACAGCCAATGAGCACATGAAGAGATGCTCAACATTAGCAGTCATTAGGGAAATGAAAATAAAAGCACAATAAGATTCCACTTTGGACCCATGAGGATGGCTACTGCTTAGAAAAAAAAAAAGAATGCAGAACAAACAAGTTCCTAAGTACGTAGAAAACTGCAGCATGGGTGCRCTGCTTCCTATATATACAATGGAGCAGCTTTTATGAAAATTGGATGGTGGTTCCTCCAAATGCTCAAAGGATACATTCTAAATGATCCAGTAATTCTATTTCTGGATATAAACACAAAAGTAGTGAAGGCAGGTAAGTGCAGAGATATTTGTAGGTGCAAATATATAGCAGCATTGTTTCCAAAAGCCAAAAGATAGAAGTAACCCCAGTATCTATCAACTGAGGAGCATCTAATCAAAATATGGCTTTTAAGCAGAATCGATATTATTCAGCATTAAAAACAAAGGACATTCTGACAATTGCTACACCACGGATGATCATGAGGACATTATGCTAAGTGAAGAAGCCAGTTATGAAAGGACAAACTCTGAATGATTGCACTTGTATGAGGCACTTAGGGAGCCAAATTCATAGAGACAGAATGTAGAATGCTGCAGAAAGACGACAGGGACTGGGGTGGGGAGGATGGATGCTTACTGTTTAATGGGTACAGAGTTTCAGTTTCCACAAAAATGTGAACACACTACATGCCACTGAATTGCACACTTAAAATGGTTCAAGTTTTAAACTGTACATTATGTCTATTTTACCACAGTTAAACACCAAACAGAAATCAGGGCAGTGTACTACAGATTAATGTAGAATCAGAAAGAAGAAGGAGGTGTAGGCCTGAAAAGAGAGAATCAAGGCAGGTGGACAAGTTGCACAACCTGGGGGAAGCCTTCAGAATGGGAGGGGGTGGTGGGAGCTGGTCACACCCCAAAAAAGCACCAGGTTAGAAAACCATTACGGGGGAGTTGAGGGGTTGCTCAGTGGGGGAGGGCATGGTTGAGGTCTTGGGTTCAATGACCAGAACAAAGAAACGAATAACCAAACAAAAACACTCCAGGAGGAAGCTGGTGCTGGGAGAGGACAGAGTAAGGGAACAGCAGGAGCAACTGAGTAGCAAAACACAGATTTTGGATACATAGTGAAGGGAGCCAAAGTCCTCTGAGGTAAAGGAACCAGAAGAAGGGGGAAGGTCAAGAGGTAGGTGGACCAAGAGCCTTCTTCTGGTATGATGGGGAGGGGAGATAAGAAGGGCAAAGAGATTAGTGGTCTGGGCAAGGAATGACCTGGAGTATGCGGGATGAACATGGCATACAGGTGACCCTAGGAGAACTTGGGTTAGGGTGAGGACAGGGGTGTTGTTTTGGATGAAGGCAGATGAGAGTGGCTGTAATGATTGCAAAGTTCTCACCAGAGTGGGCTTGTGACAGATGGAAGCTGGTGAGGGCTCAGGGTAGCTAGGCAGGCAGTGTGTGCAGGAAAAGGTTCCACAATGGAGAGATACAGAGGGACCAGGGAAAGAGAGTAGGGTGGAGTATGGATGCCTTGAAAGGGTGAGGGTTTAGATGAAAACAGGCAAAGGTCCATCAAGAAGGAGATGCCTACACTATAGGGAGAAAGAGGATGCAGGGCTTAGAAGAGCAGGGAGGTCAAGGTGCCCTGCACTGTGCTTAAGGCAAACGTCAGCACCAAGATTTTCAGGGGACTCTGAGCAGTGGGGATAAAGAGAAGACCCAAGGACAGAAGGCTCCACCAGAAACTTAGGGTCATCAGGCTGGGAGTGTAGCTCAGTGACAGAGTACTTGCCTGGCATGCTTGAGGTCATGGGTTTAATCCCAGCACCACAAAAATGAAAAAAATAAAAATGAAAGAGCAAAAACAGGTTTCTCAAAATTCTAATTTCATTCTACATAGAAATGGGAAAATTTTTTCTAAAATTCACAGGGAACCATAAAAGACCCAGTTATGGTTTAGATAGGAGGTATCTCCCAAAGCTCATATGTGAGATAATGCAAGAAAGTTTAGAGGTGAGATGATTGGGTTATGAGAGTCTTAACATAATCAGTGTATCAATTCCCAGAAGTGTTAACAGGGTGGTATCTGAGGCAGGTAGAGTGCCACTGGTAGAGGTTAGTCATTGGGAACATTTGTCCTTTTTGGGTGGAACTCACTCTCTCTGCTCCCTGGTACCTTGTCTTGAGCTGCTTTCCTTTACCTCAGTCAGCTGCCATGATATCCTGCCTTTCCTCGGGCCCTGTGGAATGGAGCCAGTGATCTATGGAGGAGACCTCTGAAACCATGAGCTCAAAATGAATCTTTCCTCTTCTAAAATTGTTCTGCAGGTCTTTTGTTCACAGCAGCAAAAAAATAGCTGACTAAAATAGACCCCCCAAAAAACAATGCAATATAGACCAAAAAGGACAATGTCAGATTTCACCATAGATTACAAAACTACAGTAAATAAAACAGCATGGTATCAGCATAAAAACAAATGCTATGACCAA